ACAGAATGGAAGTTATTATTCAAGCATAAACAGTGGAAATAATTGCTAAAGTAAAGCAAATGAACAGCCAAGTAAATTAATTCCTTCTTGAATCACTGTTCCTGTTTTCCAAGTCCAAATAATTCTCCTTCCCTATTTAGCAAGCCTGAGGGGATGAAAAAGTGTCCAAGACGGTGAAATTAAAAATTAGCTACTGAGCATGAAACATGCAATGATTGCACTTCATAACACTTTATTGCCCCAATGTTGTATGAATCACTTCACAGTTCTACACTGTTATGATGAAAAAAATGACACCGATAAAGTCTAAGCAATTGATGTTATGACTTCATCAATCCCAGACTAAAGGCATGCACAGAATGACAAATCTTTTCATGTACGCTGGGAAAACTAACAGCTCACTCTGAAGAAGCCCGAGTTTCATCTTTGTATCTTTCGGGAGTGGCCATTCTCACACCAAAAGATGAAATACCAAAATAATCCTTAGCATGGCTCACTCCATGTGACACCACCTTACTCCACCTCTCAGAAATAGTCCAATTTTGGGTTTCTGAAGAGTTATAAAACACAGCTGACACTGAAAGTTCCCAATACAGAACATTCTCACTCCTTTGAGGTTTTGCCTCAAGATAGTATGATTTTAACAATGACGTGCCTTTAGCTTGATTTCTTAATAGATTAGGAATTCTGTAAGAGTGAAACTGAATTATCTTTTTTACTAAATCAAAAAATGTTCAATATATTTCTACTTAAAACTTCCAAGAGGGCAATAATCTATGCTTAAGACAACAAAGCAGCATCACAGCCTTCTACCAGATACAGCATCAAAGGTACAGTGCAAATAAGTGACCACCCACTGAGTGATTGTACCTGCTTTTGACAGTCAGGCTCAATAGCTAACCAAATGCAACCTTCAATTCTTACTAGAGTTCAACTTTAACATGATGAAACTTATTTTAGTCTGGCTACATTAAAAAAAAATAATAAAATTAAATCTTTCATCTTTATAATGTATCATGAAATCCAAACCTGTTCTGTAACAGCTGAATTTGCCTT